ATGATTTCTGATCAAAGGCTGGGGACTTGATAACTCCACGGCCATATCTAGAGATGTCATCATGAGACATGGCACGCCTTTTGCTCGGAATATAGTTTGGGGCACTGGGCCTTTCACTGTACGGCTCGATATAGAAATCATCTCGAGACCTTCTTTGCTCACGTGATCTACGAGGCCCTTTGGGTTCAACTTTGCGATAATTAGTAGCATCACCAAAGTTCCCATTTTGGTATCTACCATCAGACATCTGAGAATCAGAAAATTTGTATTCAGGATATGGATGTGTTACATCTTGCCTCTCATAACCATTTCTCACATCAGTAGCTGATCTAGAGTGCTCATCATCTTGCATAGATGCAGCCATATGATGTGGTTCTTCCATGCCATATGTATTAGGCCTGGGCTGATGGCTACTATTGTACATGGGACTACCTCCCATAATTGGCTTTGGGTTACGAAATACCCCTAATGTTTTTGGAGAGGTTGTGAAATTATTAGAAGGACCAATCTCATCCAATTTTTTAGAATCTTTCTTTTCTCGCCTTCTTTTCATCTCATCTAACTTTTGTTGCAGCTCTGACACTACTTCTAGTTCAAGTCCAGATTTTTTTCCATTTTGTTTTTCTGAGAAACTATTAATTTTGACCTCTGATTTTACTACTTCCTTCTCCTGACATTTTAATGGTATAGTTGCACTGCCAGTCTGATCATCTTTTAAATCAAGATCACATTTTCTTTCCCAAATTTGCTGGATTTCCTCTGAAGTATCGGAGTAAACATCATCATCAACATAAGACTGTTCGTTATACATAGCTCCTGCTGCCATGACAACAGTATCAGTCTGTTGATTCTCAGGTCTGTTTCTGGTTTGCAGTCTACAGTCTAGACTTTGCTCAGTGTACTCACGCTCAGACCTAGCCGTCTCTTCTAGCTCCTGCATACACGCTTTCATAAAACTAAACCTATCACTTAATGGTTCTATTTGTGAAACAGCATCCCTAGGCCTGGTTGGTTCATTACGCATAGCAACACTTTCTGCATAGACAGACATTTCAGCTTTCATGAAAGAGAATTTCTTATTGCCTACCCTCTCAGGATTATCACTACCCAAAGGATCTGTATTTTCTGTCATGTTTAAATCTCCTGCTTTTCTATATCTTTCCCTATAGTGTGGATAAATATAATGTCTAGTATAAAAAGTATTATCGCTAAATTGCATCTCCCATTCTTGTGAGTATGGCTCTAATGTTAGTGAAGCTTTATCGAGGAGACCATTAACGTCTGTGAAATTAGAGAGGATGGCACAATGCTGTAGAGGCGGTTAGTATATGAGTAAATTCCAAAGCAGCTGGGTCATGTGCCTTCTCTGAAACTACTGCACTTCAAAACTCAAACTTTTCTCTGAAAGCAAATGTGTTTCAAAAATACATTTTCAACATCAATCAATTGTCTACGAATGTTAATAATCGAATATTATTAATTTTTCACAATCAAACTATAATTAACAATTAAATTGAATTGATGGATGAATACTTTGTACATTAAAACCTTGCTGATTCAAATGGTGTCAACATACATAGCAATCAGCCATTTTGGAAGTAGGCACATGACAAAGCTGTATTTGGTGAATCTGTTAAGTAATAAGTAATGGCTCAGCAAGAGAAATCAGCAGCTGATATAATCACAATTATTATGAATATGAATTATGATGCAATATTATATGAACAGCAGTGACAAGTGAGTTGAATGAAAGACATTAATAATATGACAGAATACAATATATGGTATGTGCTGACACATATACAAGTCTTGCAAAGTCTTGTATGTTTATAAATGTAAAGATAGGTGAAGTTTTTGCCATTATAGAGTAAAATTTATTTCAAAACTCACAAAAACAATGGTCTGGTTATGGGAATGTTCTATTTATATAGCTATTTTGCATGTTGAATTTCTGGAAAAAGGGTAGGAACCTAATAATGAAACTGACCACGCCCACTTTTAATGCCAAGTTCATTTTTAACGCCACACCCACTTCAATCAAACGAATTATGGTTGACAAGTAAAAATAACACGAACCAGTCATGCTACTTTAAAGTTGCTCTTTTAAGAGATATTGTAATTTCAAAGTTTTCAAATCTATACACCGATAGGATTACATGTTCTTGATTTTGTGAATTATTTGAATTAAGTTTTCTTTTTTTTTTTTTTTTTTTAAATATTTTTTTGTGCCAGGCGACATTTCCGGACATTGAGTGTCACTGTTGTCTCTCCTGAATATGACTTCTGTGGCAAAATGCACTATGTGTCGTCACTGGCACTTGCAATTTTCACATACAGAAACAAATTTGAATTAAGTTTGATAAAATTTAAATTTACTAGTATTTAATCTGATGGCAGTAGAGTTTGTGAGCAACTTCAAAAATGCTTGACAAAATAATGAGGGTGGTGTAGAGAAGTGGGTGTGACTAATTTTAAACTATTTCATTGGTTCAAAAATTTAATTGGTTCAAAATGGATTATAAAGTAGCAAAAATATAAATAACTGTTACATTGCATCTATTCAAAATTAATAAATTTCAGATCAACGAAAGTTTCCATTCTTATAGCAGAACAGATAAAACATGTTCAGAAGCAAATGAGAAATTAGACTAATGCCTGAATGCTTCTTTTTGTATCGTTTTTAGTGAAAAATTGAATTGACACCCTTGAATATTGAATCTGTAGATGCCTGAGGAAAACAAGTTTGTTAAATTCCTATCATAAACCACACTGCTAACCATATGGATTATTAGTTACAAGTATGAAAGACCTTTTGTCTGTTATGTATGTACGAGTGTCTAAACGTGTTAAGCATAATTTTTGTTTTAATCCATTAGCTCATTTAATTCTGCAAAAAAAAAAGATAATGGTAAATCTGAATTTTTTTGTGTTGACATGTTTTACTTATTTTAATGTATGTAATTACAACATTTAAAGCAGTCTGGTGTTGTAACAAACAAATTAAACAACACACGAAATTGGCCATTTATTTTACTGTTATTATACTATTTGAGCGAATTAACAAAGTTTGCAACACATTGTATTGGGAACACACATCTAAAATAATTATCTAAGATAATGACTGTATTTTCAGAAAATTATTACACTTGTTTATTATATATAATCGAATGTAGTCAATTGTTATGCATCAAATAACCTGGTTTTTAATAGAATTTCTCAGCTGCATCTGATAGCTGTTCAAAAGACAGTTGTTGTGAGCGTTGACCTGGGCTTATAGTTGTAGAGTATCAATTCGACATCTGACCTGGGCTTATCATCATTTAGTTTCATTCTTTGGCTGTATTTTCTTTATTTTAAATTTATGATAATAAAAAAAGAAACTAGATTGCAAAATGCAATATTAAGGACACGCAAAAATAAATCTCAAATATTTAAAATTAGAAGGCAAGCAACTGAAAATATAAATTGTATCCAATTGCAACAAAGTAAATCAAGAGCCAATGTAACAATTATTTGTTTATGCCTGGCCTTATAACAGTTTTGCTACTTTATAGTTGTTATGTACCATTATTAATTGCACACCAGGTGTTCATAAGGTAGTTTAGATGTGACCATATATTTGATTTGTATTCACTATTATTAATTACAACTACAAATAACACATGCTTTTACTTTAGAATTCTATATTTACAAATTTACATGAAATATAAATTAATATACAATGATTAGGTGATTAAGCATCCGTTGTTTTTTCTCGCTATGTCTGGGCGTCGCCTGAACCAAACCTCATGGACTATTAACTACTATGCCATTGATTCAGTTCAGTTAATATTTAATATTATTATAGTAAATGTAAAACAATGTTTAAGGGAAAATTATTTACACCTACTTAAAAATATTCATTATTATATAGCAATTATATATTTTGAATTTTACATGAAATTTCTTTCTCAGTAAATAGAGAGATGTGATGACTATCAATACATAATGCTCTTAACAATTTAGCTAGCTAATTTCACTACAAATAGAATCACTGGATTTTAGATGCAAAAGGGGATAATCCAAGTACACCCTAGGAAAGAATAGAGCTAGGTTTAGATGCATTACAAGTGAAAAGTCGGAAAGGATCTAAAGTAACAAGACAGAAATGTGTGCAAGGACCAAAACCGCCAACCCAGCAACACCAAGAGAAGACAATCATACAGTCAAGAGAACAGCTGTGTGCCATGCATGTGACAACCAACAAATCAGATATACCCAACGAAACACGTGAACATAACAAGAATGGGAAAAAAAGGGTTTCAACAACCGGAAGACGAACCAACACAACCATGCACAAACAAATAATAAAAGTAATTCCTCGCCAGAAGCCAAAATGGTACACTAATTCGACTCTGAATATACTAGTATACAATTGGATCCTGTCTGGAGTTCAAGTTAGCTTCAGTTTAAATAGTGAAATATTAAAGTATAGAGCTCGGGATATGGAATTGAGTATTCCCATGCGGCAGGAAAAAGACAAAATTTCAAGAGCTAACTTGAGATACCGGTATATACACAACACTTCCAACTTGAATTATATGCTCAGAGTCCAATCACCGTCACAAAGAAGAACTACAGTTTCTTCTAACTAACTCAAATGAAACTATCCCCTCCAAATACTTTGTTCATACTATGACACTAATTTTATTCTACTGTTATCATTTGAAAGCAAGCAATTTCTTGCCAAAAATGTTTTCTAATGTGATGTACATTTATTTCAGCAAAAAAGACAATAATCATAAAGAAGAAAACACATATACAATAAGGGTGTAGACGTCATTATCACATACACTGTGTGGGGGCAAGTCACATTTTGAGATTTATCCTCAACATGTAGTCACTGTACATCTGATAAGGTACTGTATTAATAATGGTAATGATGGGAATAAGAATTTACTTTGAAGGAATGGGGGGGGGGGGGGCAACTGTAAACAATAAAAGTACATGTAATAACATACCTTCCTCTTCTTCTTCACCAGGTTTTTTTACTAGACCATGTACAGGTATATCACCACCTTTCTGTACTTCTTTGTACAAGTCATGGCTCACAGGGGGAGGAGAGTGGTGGTAATGTACTGGCGAACCTTGTTGATGATGCGGCGATAATTGTCGATGCTGTGGAGACAATTGTTGTTGTTGCTGCTGCTGCTGATGTTGTACTGGTTCCACAGATCTTTTATAGTTGGCAGGAAGTGTTTTGCTGAAGTAGAAAGAAAAAGTAGTGAATTATTAGTAGTAAAATTTGATTAACACTTAATATTGTTTGCTACAATTTAGCAAGCATTCTGTTAATATTATCATTGATCCTGTGTAAAATGTGTTTCTACCTCGCTGTTATTGAAGTACTAATTCACGGCTGTTGTCACCAAAGACATTCAGATCTTATTTTTGTGCTAGGTGATGACATCCTATTTGTGAATGCATAATTACATTCTATGGTTAATTCTGCGAATTCACTGGGATTTCATTTTAGTGCATTGTAAAGCTATCAGCAAAATAATAGTCCAAATCTGCCTGTTACTAGACCTGCCCCTGGACAGTATGTATTATAATCACCTATATCATAGCATGAATACCCCTGGCTGTCAGTTAAATCATTTAGTATTTGCATATGACCCTCGAAAGATCACTTTCATGTAAATGGCATTAAGATTATCACTCTGACTTAAATAGTTCAATATTCATATTTATGTGGCTTTATCTAATTAGAGGAACAAAAAAAAAATGTAATTTTCCAGCTTTTTTTTTATTATTTGTTAGAGTGTACGTTACCAAGCTGAATAATCACATGAAATCTAAAAATAGAAATGTATGCAAAACCCTGCAGTTTTCCTGGTTTTATTTTCCTGTATACAACAGATAAGTGAATAAATGAAGTAATCCTTTGAAATAAACGATACCTAGAATAGAGTCATGTTTTTATAATGCTGCAGCAAAATAAACCATACTCAGGCTGTCTGTCTGGGCACTGGGGTATTTTGGTATTTTAAGTTTACTCAATGCCAAAACACCTAGTCGTGATGCAGCGAATTTTGTGAAAACAATCTACATGTACAAAGGTTGTATTGCACAAGAGCATACACAGTGTTCAACAATGTGGTGTTATCGTGTCAAGTACATGTAATACCATATTTGCTCTATCAGTAGTGGCGTGTCAAGGGTCAAAATAAGTAATATTTTCATGATTCGGTATACAGTATTTGCAAGTATTGGTATATATGCACTTCTGATAGAGCAAACGTTGTAAATTTTTTTTTTTAGCAATCATGCAGTTTATTGATTATGATGGCCAGGGGGAGATGTTTTAGAGATTGTTGATTTGACCTATGAACATGTTGGATTGTTTTTGTAATAACGAATGCCTTTTTGTTGGCTGCTACATACTATAGACCTTAGAGTCTATGCATGCATATAACAAATTGATAAATAATAAAGCTTGTTTTCTTCTGAAGTGCATCTCTGATAGAGGCACAATTAAGCCAAAACAGTGTGTTCTGATGTGGTTTCAAACACACTTAACTCACACTAAACCACTGATGTATATTTGTAGAGTAGTGGGGCCCATGCATGCATGTTTATATCATTAAACTTTTGAATGTTATAATTTATTTGAGTCCTGTGCAAACATGAATATCAAATATGCACTGGGAAATGACTACTGTAGAATACTTTATTTTCGTTTGGAATTTATTTTCGCTGAAGGGATGATTCCATGAAAATAAAATCCAGCAAATATACTTTTTTTCCTATATTTCACATTAAACTCATCAAAAATCAGTGACAATAAAATCCATATAAAATGCCCAAAAAGCCTTTTCAGCGAAAATTAATTCCAGCGAAAATAAAGTATTTTACAGTATATCACTTTAAAGTGTAGTTTCCATAAGGGATCAACCAATTTAAATCATGGGGGTGGGGTAGGGGTGGCTGGAAGAGTTTTAGCAGTGCAATTATTTTTTCTCAGTTCCTAATCTGTACATTTTTATTCATCTTGAATGTGCCATCATTTTGTCCTTGCATGCATTTTTTTCTCTCTCTCTGTGTCTAGCTGGCAATTTATATTTTTCAACAAATCTTCGAGCCACCCCTCATAATTTCAAATGGCCAACCCCTAACATACATATTAACTTCCTACATGATAAGATCACATTTTCAAATTAAGGTAGAAGCTGACTGAATGAAAATACCCAAAATTTATTTTGCAATAAATTGTACTCCAAGGCAATATAAGCCTAATTTTTGAGAAAATGCTAGTTGTATTTTAGTGAATAGTTGCCATTTTGGCACTATTATAATAACGCTTTCACCGTAAGTTCCTATAGTAGAGATAATATGACAGTACACTGTTGCATCAACCTCTGCTGTGTGTCGGTTGATACTCTGCTGTACTGTCTTTGTGTATACTTTGAGGTACATGTATCCTCGTAATAACCTTATTATTATACATCTTTTCCTTCCAAGGATACATCATGGGAACGCCGAAATCCAGAATGTTAAGAACGGAATCAGCAAACTTTTTTATGTGGAGTCTGATCAAACCCTGGTGGCAGCCATGTTTGTTTTTATTAAAAGTGTCAAATTGTTTTTTAACACTGTGTTCTATTGAACTGTATTCTAAAATACATATTGTACATCTACCATAAATATTGGTAAATTCAAAAATGTATAACTTACTAAGTTGTTGAAGATTTGATGGGTTCAGCGGGAGGATTATACATATGACCAGTCTGTAAGATAGATAGATAGATACAAATAATAAATAAAAGCTATATCGATGCGTAACTGATCTACAATCAATTACATTAATTATATTGGCTAATGTATAATGGAAGAGAAACCTCTATTGATTTATAGATCAATAGAAGCTTACGAAGAAGATCGTCACTCTTGCTGGATCAATAATCGAAAATCCAATTTTTGGTTGAACCTTAACCAATTGATCGACTGTATTCTGTGCAAGTACGCGACTGACTCAATCGAGACACTGAAGTTCTGTATGCAACTTTGGAAGAAGTGCAGAACCAAATTTAACCTTTGAAGCAAAATTTTGATGCAATATTTTTCCTGTTTTTTATGTATTTTTCGAATTTTTATTTGATAATTTTTGTCATCTCAGCCAACAATGCTTTCTTCGAATCAACAAATCTGTATACATCGCTCTTGGCCTAGCCAGGCCAATATTTCTATAATATCAGGAAATCACAAGCCAATCACAATCTCACTGTAGGTATGCACCTGTTGAGTACCCTTGTACCAAACATCTGTTTTTAGCCAATCACAATCTCACTATAGGTATGCACCTGTTGAGTACCCTTGTACCAAACATCTGTTTTTAGCCAATCACAATCTCATTATAGGTATGCACATGTTGGATACCCTTGTACCAAACATCTGTTTTTAGCCAATCACAATCTCACTGTAGGTATGCACCTGTTGAGTACCCTTGTACCAAACATTTGTCAGCTTTATGGGTTAATACCATACGACAGTCAGTTTAACCCTTATCCTGCCAACCCCATCTACTGTTACACTGACTTGACCTGATATGGGTTAAGGACACTCAGTCTGAACTGAACATACTTAAAGTGAACTAAAAATAATTTACATATAAGATACAAATATATTTATAATTTTACAATGGAACAAATCAACCCTGTTCTACCACAACTACAAATAAAATAAATGCTATATATAGAAAATATTCAAACACCTGTTGAGGTCAAAATTTCAACTTTCACACAGTTGTGAAATTGTGTGAGAATATATTATTCTATGAATTGATACATTCATATTTATTGAAAAGAGGATTATTAAAACACCATTATTTTTTTCCCAACAGCATTCTGGTGCTACATTATGCAATTTTTTAGGAATTATTCTTTAATTTTTTTTGCAAAATTTGGACTCAAAAGAAATAATTTCCATTTGGCTATATGTTTTGATCAAAACTTTTTAACAAATATGAAAAAATTCCGCAAATGGCAACAAACAATAAGCAGCAATATGCCAAATAAAACATGAACTGTGTAATGCCAGAAACAACCTCCACTTCAGAATACATTTCAATTACATCCAATAGCAAAGTAATTTCCTGAATACAAATTATACAGTTGACGTAACTATACAAATATGCTGTCAATTATCTGGACCACCACCCCATTACTACAATATTCTAACAGCCTAATTGACAATTATACTATAAGCAAGATTGCTAAAAATAAACCAGTCATTTCCACAGCAGCTGCTAAACTACTGGGATGATACATGTACATGTAAATGAAAATGTACTGTAAAATACTTTATTTTCGCTGAAGGAATGATTCAGTGAAAATAAAATCCACAAATATACACTTTTCTCCCTATATTTTACACTCAACTCGTCAAAAATCAGTGAAAATAACTTCCATACAAAACATCCAAAAAATCTATTCAGCGAAAATTAATTCCAGCTAAAATATAGTATTCTACAGTAGTTAAATTTCATCTGGCAGAAATTTTGTAATTTGATAATCCAACGGTATAGACAGGCCCAATAATACACAACTTTTTTCCTCTCTTACAAATGCATCCCTAATAGAAAACCAATAGTAATAGTAAACCAAAAACTATTATATACTGGATTGTTCAATTATGATTCATTTTACTATAGACTGTCTGTCATTTGTGTGTATTAAAAGAACATGCATGTCGAATACAGCAAATGAAATAGTCACTATGACTTCCTGTCTGGTACCCCAAGGAATAGTTCACTGCCCCAAAATATTGTGACCTTCCAAGCTACAATGAACTGATCTTCTACAGATATCATCCATTCATATTTTCTAAATTATTATTTCAGAAATTTAAGAAACATTAAATAATTTACCCAAGGATTCCTGCATTACCTTAAAATCAGCAGAAGTTTTTATTAGTTAGAGCAGACATACAAGTCTTTTCATCAACTCAGTGGAGAATTCAGATCCTACCAAATGCATACAAAACTATTCATTCGTAGATATACATGTATATTATAAGTAGTCAAACTAGCTGAAATGACTAATTTCATCATATTTTAGATGAAATACACAGATTTCCCAATTTTTATGAGCAAGTGTGCTACTATTCACTGAATTTCAATAAATTATAACTTGACAGTTGAAAAAAATATGACCTGATCACAATGCCTTAGTGAATGAATACCCATGCAATATACAACAGACAGAGTGACCTTTGACCCTTCGTGACAGTTTCATTCTACTAAATTTACTACATTCTACATTCTACTAAATTTGTTGTAGTTATGATTCTAATGATTATTTTTACTTTAAAAATAAAATAGTCTAGTTTATTCTTATGAGATATTGCATTTTCAGCTGTATGTAGAGCTCAAACTGCAGAGTTGACGGAGCACCATTTTTAAAAGACAAAAACTAATAAAATGAACCTGGCATATAGAAATAATATGTGAAAATCAGTATTTTTTTTTTGGAGGGTGCCATTGCAAACTCTTAGCACATTATGAATATTGACATTAATGACTTAAATTCAAACCCTGTATTGTGCCGAATTCAATGAAATGGAATGCATTTATTTTAAAATATTTCAGTGTGGACCTTGCATTGTGCATATTTATGTCGGCCATTTTGAAATAAAAAAAAAGATAACAGTTCACACTACCAGGCTTTATGACAAACCTCCTATTGTGGAGGTTTTCACAATTTTATATTTTAGTAGCCTCCTCTTCTTTCAATTTATATCCAGTCCTAAATGGAAGAAATTTATTCTACACACTAACTCATAGTGATGAGATACGCAAAATTGCAGGCATGTGAAAACACTTGCCACCTACGCTTACTAACGGTACTGTAAACTGCGTTAATGTCAGACAAATGTTTGCAAATTTTGCTAGTCAGTGAAAACCGCAGTATACTGTAGAATACTTTATTTTCGCTTGGAATTTATTTTCGCTATTTTTGCTGAAGGGATGATTCCGTGAAAATAAAATCCGGTGAATATACATTTTTTTCCTATATTTTACATTAATCTCATCAAAAATCAGTGAAAATAAATTCCAAGCAAAACGCCCAAAAAGCCTTTTCAGCGAAAATAAATTCTAGCGAAAATAAAGTATTCCACAGTAAATATTTCTGGGATCAGGAATGTCAGTGACTTTCATGAAATTTTGTCTTCATGAAAAATCCTAAAATCATAAAAATTCCTAGAGGCAAACGTATTTACAGTATTTTACAACACCAATGTTCTATTAACAAATAATTTTAGTTTGAATGAATTGGATGCATAAACAGCAGGATGATATACTTGTATGTTAAAAATACACATATGATTCATTACATAGGGAGTGACCTGAAAAATGATATGAATCATTGGTAAGCTGCTTACAAACATTCTTTATTCCAGACAACAGTGAATCAAATAAACAATACACCACAGAGAACAATGCTGAATAAAAACACTTACATGACGAAAGTACCACAGTATCCAAATAATAGGTTTCCAAACCCGTAAAACTACATGATCAAAACACCATAAGGCACAACAGTGGCCAAAATACAAGGCCTTCAGAACAGTAAAACTCGAATTCTGGCGGTCTACTGAACATGTGGTGATCGTGACCAATCATACGAGCAGAGCAAAATTGACACAATATGAACTAAAAATTGAAGATTGGATGAAAACAATCAGATATACTACTGGTGAACAGTGATAATATATATAGTGATATAATAAGTACATGTATATTAACAATACATCCCAACTGCACAGTGATACATCACTGATACTATAAGAATTTATCATGAGTGACAATGATATATCAACTATACACAACAGCTGAGTGATACATCACTGATATTACATGTATTTATCATGAGTGATATATGAACTATACACCACAGCTGAGTGATACATCACTGATACTACATGTATTTATCATGAGTGATATATTAACAATACACCACAGCTGAGTGATACATCACTGATATTACACGTATTTATCATGAGTGATATATTAACAATACATCACAGCTGAGTGATACATCACTGATATTACATGTATTTATCATGAGTGATATATCACTATAAACCACAGCTGAGTGATACATCACTGATACTGCATGTATTTATCATTGGTGATATATTAACAATACACCACAGCTGAGTGATACATCACTGATATTACACGTATTTATCATGAGTGATATATTAACAATACACCACAGCTGAATGATACATCACTGATATTACATGTATTTATCATGAGTGATATATCACT